GCCGCGGAGCAACTAAGCCCGTGCGCCACAACTACTGAGCCTGCGTTCGAGAGCCCACGAGCCCCAACTACTGAAGCCCATGCACCTAGAGCCTGTGCTCCGCAACAAGAGAAGCCACTTCAATGAGAAGCCTGTGCACCACAATGAAGAATAGCACCCACTCCCCGCAACTAGAGAAAGCCCACGTGCACCCCCCAACAAAGACCCAACACAACCAAAAATAAAAATAAATTAATTAATTTTAAAAAAAAAAGATGGTCACTTAAGGAATCTGAGGGAGATATAGGGAAAAACACAGAAGTAGGAAATGAACCAGCAGAGAATGTTAGCACAGAAGTCAAGAGAAGAGCATTTTAAGTTGGAGACAATGACTTGGCAGTGCAGGGAGCAGAGTTCCACTAGGTTGAGACTTCAAGAGGACTTTCAACCTAACAAAGTGGAGTCCACTTGTAAATACAGGGACTGTTGGGAAGGAAGGGCAATGTGAAGCACTTTGTAGAATGAAAGGAGATAGTTAGTGACTTTAGGTTATTCTTGAGGCCAAAATGCTTAGTAATAAGAATAAGGTAACAAATATTTGGTTCTCTTGTATGAGGAGAAAAAGGGTTAGCGTGATAATCTCAGGAGGATATGGAGCTAAGAATTTCTTTTCTGGAATGTATGTGTGGGGGTGACTGGAATGTGTTCTTAAATGGAAGGAAGGAGTTAGAGAAGGAAAAAGAGACGAGAAGGAAGGGATCATTGATGGAGCATTGTGCAGAAGAGGGTAATGTGAGAGGGAAGGGTGGAAACAAATTAGCTACTTTATTTGAGGTAGGAGGGAAGGATAAAAACAGATTTAGATGCAGATAGGTGTGAGATCGAGGAAGTCTATGCCAATTTATTTCCATTTTTTCTGTGAAGGAAGAGTTAGATCATTCTCTGAGAGGAAGGACAACCGAACAAGAGAAAGCTTGAACAGAGGTTTGAGATTGCTGTTAGGTAAAGAAAAAGAAGAGTCAAGTGGGAATAAGTAAAATTAAAGAATACTCGTCACGTCAAGAGCATAATTGAAGTCAGAGCTCAAAATTATTTTCATGACACTAACCAGCATATTTAACGTATTTTCTCCCATAGCATTTGGTAGCTTGGGCACATGAGAATAGGGAATGATGATATGAATTAGAAATTGGCAAGATGGGTGTTGTGGAAGGTAAGGAAGCCCGGAAGTTGGGATGATGCTACTGAGAATATAATTGAGATGATTGACTTTCTATTGCAGGCTGGGTATGGAGAGAAATAAAGCCAGGTTGAGCCTGACAACTAGCATAATAGCAGAGGGCCAAGAGGATGTAAGTCCTGATGAGGTTGAAGAGCAGGTGGAAAGGGAGTGGGACAGGTTGGGAGGATAGGAGGTTGTACAGCATAAGCCCTCTTATCTGTTGGAATCAAAGCCAGTAGTTGATGAGTTAATCTAAAAAGTCAGTTGAGAGGCCCGCGCACCGCGATGAAGACTGGCCCCTGCTTGCCACAACTAGAGAAAGCCCTTGCACAGAAACACAGCAAAAAAAATTAAAACAAAAAGATCTTTAAAAACAAAAAAAGTCAGTTAATGTAAAGACTTTTTTTAAAAAAAGATTCTTTTACATTTATAAATTAAAATTCAATAATATTATGTTTCATTTGTTCACTAGTATTTTGATTTAAAGCTGAAGGCTTTTCTTTGATTGTTAATCTTTCTTACGTAAATCATACCAGTAATTGATCGTCTGCAATTTCCTGAGTTTTTTTCTTTAAGTAGAGCTAACCCTTGACACCCCATCCTCCTTCTATGGCACATACACCTGAGAGTAGGCTGGTGACACCACCCTGAAGGCCTGGCCTGGAGTGAGGGCCAACCTGATTTCTTTTCCATGTGATTCAAGATATTTCTGGAGCTTTTTGCTTTTTGCAGGAGGACTTTCTTGCCACTTCATAAATGAGTAGAGAGAATTCTTTAGCACTTTCTGAATCTTACATCATTGCTCAGGTTCCTTTTTTATAGTGTGGTCACATGTGTTAGTTTTGGCTTCCTTGATACTCTCTCATATTTTAATATGCAAACTTTTTTTTCAATCTGACTGTTTTTCTTTTTCAGATTATTTGTTTTGGTGTGGGGTGTGAGGGAAATTTCCCAGAAACAGTGAGATGTGAGTTTTATTTTCTCAAAATAAGGATGGAGAGGTGATAGAAGTTGATTAAATCTGTTTTTATTTATATTTTACACTTTTAATTTTTTTATCAACTGTGATCAAAGAATATATTATTTGATAATTTTTTCCTTAAACATTTACCATAGAAGTGGCTAGCCATATTAGTTTAGGAATCTCTTTCCAAAGAGGAATTATCCTACTTTCTCAAAAGTTTGTAGTCTAACAGATATACCTCCGTGCTTTTTATTTTAATGTTTGATTTAAAGATATAAAATGCAGGTTTTATGAAAGTTAGGGTCTTTAAGGAATAACTAAAGTGGAATGTTTAGGAAATTACACAAAATTTTAACTAAAAAGCAACTAGATGTTTGGAATATGTTAAATAAAACTAGTTTCGCAGTGCTATTTTTAGCCTATGTAAAATTTCTAGAAGGTTTCACACAACACTTTTGGCTACCTGTGTGGCTACCTAGTTGGAATAGTTAGAAGGCAAAGGAGTTTCATTTCCCTTATGTACTGTTGGAACTATTTCTTGTTCTCTTGAGCAAATGTTAATTTTTTTTAAACATCCTTAAAAATGAAATATGCTTTGGGCTTTTGTTTTCATTTTAGGTATAGTGTCTAGGGTAATTTCAATATGCCTTTTGTTAAATATAGCTAATAATCGAGCTTTCAGAAGAAAAGCTTGCTCTGTTGAGATGCTGGAATTGTTGCAACCTCTATCCCTTTCTTCCTTCTCTCCTTCTTAGCTTGTCTCTAAGAAGAGTCTACTTCAGTATCATCAACAGTTATAGCCTCCCCAACACCCATGCCTCATAATCTTTCTTATTTCACCCCAGAAGGTAATAAGAACCAGAAATCACACTACTCCTCCTCTGACTCTTTCTTTTAATCCTAATCTACTTTTGGCCCTCACACTCTTATCAACCAAATCTAACAAATCCTTAGTTGCTAATACTGGTTATGCCCTTTCAGGTTGACAAGGTAATTTTTTCTGTTATCATTTCCACTGAATTAGGTCTTGGCCAACTTACTGTTTAGTTGATTGGACAGTCAACCTTGATTATTTTAGTTTGGCCTTTCTTGGAGAAAAATTTTCCCAATTTATTGAAACCAAATATGAATACCTCATGGTCTCTTACTGGCTGCTTAAACTTTTTCAGGCTAATTGACATGGTCCATAATTGATCTAGAGATAGTCATTTTGGATACTGTTTCCTCAGTAGGATTTGACTTTGTTGTAAAACAAAATTTCATGTTTTCACAGTATACTACAAACTATTCATACACTGACTCTCAGTTAATAGAAACAGTAGATTCAGAGGAAAGTGTTTTTTTTTTTTTTTTTTTTTTTGGCAATATGTGGGCCTCTCACTGTTGTGGCCTCTCCTGTTGCGGAGCACAGGCTCCGGACGCGCAGGCCCAGCGGCCATGGCTCACGGGCCCAGCCGCTCCGTGGCATGTGGGATCTTCCTGGGCCGGGGCGCGAACCCGTGTCCCCTGCATCAGCAGGCGGACTCTCAACCACTGCGCCACCAGGGAAGCCCCAGAGGAAAGATTTTAAAAGAATGAAATTAAAGGTCAAACTAGAGATTCCATTAATAGTTGAAAAATAGTTAAGTGAGGATGTGGAATCAAGAAACTAGTCTTTTGATCTTTGATAGCTTGTATAATTTATAGCACTATGGTACTATTAGTTAAAATATTTAAATGTAAAATAAAACACATACAGCAATATAAAACCAGAAGCCCCAAAAAAGGAAGTTGGTCTCACCACATTAATATCAATATTTTCCATATTTCTTTCTAGTGCTTCTTCACGTGCAATAATTTTTATGTAAAGTATATAAATTATCATAATCTAGATATCTCCTTATATTCTCTTTTTTCTAGTTATAAGCATTTTCCTATATTACACATATTCTTATTTTTATTTGAGAGGAAATCTTATATTCTTTCAAGTTGACAAATTATGACTATCCCCAACTACTCCCCTATTGGACACTGATGTTTTATTGTGAAGTTTTATTGGTCAGAGATTGCAAGGGGTCTGTCAAGCTGCTCTTTAACAATCTGGTGCTAGGACCACCCCTGGTTACCAGGGTTATCAAATGACCCCTCATTCTGACTTCTAATATCAAATTTAGAAAATCTGATGATGGCAGTCATAAGAGTAGGTGTCAGGGTGACCTTTGTTTTAAATCCCATCTATTTTCCAGTGGGATAAACTAAATTTACCTTGATAGAAATAAAACAGGAAATATTGCAAAGAGAAATAATTTCATTATGAGTAGCAGGCAAGAAAAGCTGAAATACATTATATATAATGTGCTATGGAAATATTTCCAGTTACTTTTCTAAATGTCTCTTGGAATTGAAAGCTATGGCAGATCAAAAAAATTGACTTGTTGAAGATTTCGTTCCGTTTCTCTTCCTACCCTCCCAAATGAAAAATAAAATCTTCTTGCATTTTTGTCCCATCTTCTTTTTCTTCTTAAGTGATTAGTTGAATATCTTATTTTAACCAATTAATTGCTTATATAACCTAAAAGTTTTTCAGTTCTTTGAAACTACATTTCTAAATTGTGTTATGTTTACATTTTTAAATTGTATTGTTTCAGTTAGTTTTCTTGTGCGTTGCTTTGGTTTAAAATTTTTTCGCCTTCAAATTTCATTTTTACGTCTTTGACTCCAATTTCAATTGAAATAACTATATTTCATAAGTAAGCATACATCAGAGTCAGTTTTAACTTTTAGATGATCTTGTAAATTTTAACAAAAGTGTAACACTTTTTTATCCCCACTCCCTTTTTTTTTTTTTTTTTAAAGGAATCAGCAGGAGGGGATCTTCAGTCTCCTTTAACACCAGAAAGTATCAATGGGACAGATGATGAAAGAACACCTGACGTGACCCAGAACTCAGAGCCAAGGCCTGAACCGACTCAGAATGCATTGCCATTTTCACATAGGTACAGATTCAATTCAACCATCATGATTAAGTAAAATGTGTAGAAACTTACTTGGTTTCAGATAAATCTTGCAAAGTTACAACCCTGAGTGAAAATTCCAGGTCAGACTTTTTTTTTTAACTGTTAACCTCAGAAAAGTTTTAATAATTTATAGTTGCTTAGATGGACTGGAGTGGACATTTCCATTACCTTTGTAGAAAAAGGGCTACTGAGCTAATTATAGTACAAATTGTTTTTCAGTGAAACAACATATTATTGCAAATCTCTTTTACTTATTTCTTAACCCAGCTCCTAAAAAGCCCTCGTTGTTAACCTGGTTTCCATTTTCATGTATGTTCTTGAGGGTTATAAAAATTTTTTTAAAAAAATAGGTTTCCTATTCTGAAATTAAGCTTTGCCAGTCTTAGAGGTAATCTCACTGTATTATTTCAAAGAAGAAGACAAGTTATTGGTGTAACTTCCAGCATGGACCTGTTAATGTTAATGTCAGGTTCATTTTTGCACACCAACTAACAGGAGATAAATCTTCACATGCTTCTGAATTTTAAAGAATTTGATACTTTAAAAAGATGCACTTTATCCTAAATATGTTCGAAACCAGTTACATTAATTATTGGCCATATTGTGGTATTTTTAGGATGTAAGGAGGTCTGTGAAACTGTAAATGTAAACAAATACCTCTCAGTCATTGTCTTAAAGTTAATTTTTATCCTTCTTTGGAAACTTTTGACCTAGATAATTTTAATTAAAATTCAGAAAAAAGTTTTCCTTTGTTGTGCATCTCTTTGGACCAGTTCAAAAAGATCAAATTCTTTAGCATATTCAGAAGAATTGTGAAGTGAGATATTCCAAACTTTCTTTTTCATGAGAATTTTAATTTTGATTTTATTGGTTGAATATTAGGGGCATAGGACTAAACTTATTAGAGACTCACATTGAGGGACCTCATAGTCAAGCTGAGGAAGAAGAAGGAATTTGTTAAAGAGTTTTTTAGGAATGAATGGGGAAAAACTCTGACTATGAGGCTATTCTAATATGTTCCTAAAAATGGTAATAATTTTGCATAAAAGGGTTAGGCATATTTTAGAATTTTCATAGAGGTAATGCTTTAACTATTGCAGTATAGGTGTGTTCTCTTTTCTATAGCTAAAAAATGACTGAACACATGAACATTTTTGGTTCTTCCAATCTGAAGACTATATGTTTACATTGATTTGTAAACCATACTGGTTTTTAAAATACGCAATTACTACTAAAGAGCAATGTGATTCATGTGCAGTTTTAAAAATATTTGTGTTGATGGAAGCAAAAATTTCTTTCCTATTATATTTAACACGTCCAATTAATAAATAGATGTAACTACACTGAACATAATTATAAACTTGATTTCTTTGGCTAACACTTAAACAAGACGTGCATTGGATACTGTAGCATTATGAAATAAGAACTTTTGTATTTATCATTTGTAAAAGCTATTTCTAGTTTACTTTATGTACCTAAAATTTTCTGAGTGTTTATTATTTTGCTAATCCTTAGTGTTTGGAGTTATTAACTGTGATTGGTCATCTATTGATTTTCTCTGTTTTGGGGAGTCAAATAGGAGTTTACTTTCTTTGATGTGAGGTACAGCTTCTTTGACTACTGGAATATGTAGATTAGCCAGGGAGATATTTGAGTTCTGAAAATGAAATTTAACAGGTCAATTTAAGCTTTTAATTATGTTAAAGGCATTATATAATCTTACAGTTTTCTTATTATTTAAAAAACACTTCAGCATAGGATTTTAGAAGACTTATTCTCTGAACTTGTTTTTACATCAATCAGTATCAATGAATATTCTCCTTGTTACTTGATTGAAATTAAGATTTCTACCTGATATAGAAAATTGAGTATTTTACAGCTAATGTTAGAACCTCAAAATAACAGAGGGGACCTCAGAGATGGTGTAATCTAGGATTTTTCAAACTGCAGTGGTTTGAAATCAACTTAGGTTATTCATGGCATTCTGAAAAAATGAAAAATAAAATGAAATAAGTAACACCAGGATAAAACCCACATTAAGAGATGAAATTGTGTTTCAGTAACATACATATTTAAGTGTGGGCTGGATTATAGGGTAAAACGTCAAAGTTTGAAAGCATGGGCCTTTGACACATCCCAGAAGTTAGGTGATTTGTCCTAGGTCATACAGTTCATTAGTAACAGCTTTAGAACTACAGCTCAGCTCTTTTGACCCTACTATGTACTGCCAGTTAGTTAATAGTGCATTTTAGTCTAATCCCCAAAACAAGCACATTGTTGTGTCAGGAAGTTAATAACTGTTTCTATTTTGGGAGAACTATATAGAAATAAGATCAGTGTTTCATTAATGAGAGACACAAAGAATATTAAAATAATTTCTATTCAAATCTGAAACTCACAAATGTTTAAACTTGATACACTATCCTTTTTTCCCATGGCAGAGAACATTTAAAATCTATGTTTTTAAGGCTTACTTATACTATTTATTTTTGTCTTTCTTCCTTAGTACTTATTTCAACAGAAAAGAATGAATAGGAAAAAAGATACTTTGCCAACATTCCTCTGTTCTGGTTGATACCATTTTATTGCTAAATTAGGAGCAAAATCACTAGAATATCTGTGTTTTTTGTTTTTTCTTTTAAAGGTGGAAGGATATAGGGAACAATGATCTAGTCAGTCAAGTTGATTGAGTTGATTGTAGTAATAGCTACTTAGCAAGCCAGCTTGTGCTCTTCTTAAAATTTAAATTGTATACCTAAATCTTATTAGTTCATTAATTAACATAACAAAAGGAAACCCTGATTTTCATTTGGTCCTGAAAATTTAGTAATGTGTTTATAGTTTATTTACTCTCTGTAAACTTTATTTATTTTTTAAAAAGTATTACTTAACTTTAAAGAGAAAAGCAAGATTTGTTTGTTAGTCTTTAAACTAACACAAATTTTCAAGTATACTTGAAAGAGATAACACTATAGTGAACTCCCATGAGCACGTCTCCCAGCTTCAACATTTAGGAAAAAATGGCCAGGCTTGTTTCTTTTCTAATCCTACCCACTCTTCCACTTTTGTATTATCTTTAGAGCAAATTCCAGACATATAATTTCATCCACAAATACTTTTTTAAAATTACTTTTGAACTTTTAAAAAACTTATTTACTAAGCTAGTACAACTTTTTATATTCCATCTAACTCACTGGCATTATAGAGTTACCTTTATTTACTCTTTTCTTTGTTTTTTTAAAAATTACACTGCTGAACTAAATTGTAAAATGTATGGACTGCTCAATGCTTAAGTCAAGTGCTATATAGTACTGTGTTGTGTCCTTGTTATAAACTATGCAAAAACATTCTCATTGAATAAGTTTAGATAAATTAACACTTTTTTAGTATATTTATTTAAATGCTTTTAAAAGTCTAGAGATGTGTAAAATAGGAAGATTATGAGGATGAAAATGTTTACTAATTTCTTTGGGGAAATGGTAATAAATTTTATCTAAATTGCTATTTTTTCTTAAAAAATATTTTTTTAACCTAAATGATAATATCCTTTTGGGACTGAACAGGTGTACACTCTGACCTACTGAAGTATTCAGGGCATCCTTTGAGACTGTAGCCTTAGATTAGCTATATGGTTGACCCTTGAACAACACAGGTTTGAACTGCGAGGGTCCACTCATGAGTGGATTTCTTTCGATAGTAAATATTACGGTATTACAGAATCCGCAGTTGGTTGAATCTGTGGATGTGGAACCACGGATGCAGAGGACTACCTGTAAAGTTATGCATGGCTTTTTGTCTGCACGGAGGGTTGGCACCCCTAACTCCCTGCATTGTTCAAGGGTCATCTGTATACTAAATAAAATAACTACTATATACTATACTATATATATAAATATAGTATTTATATATATATGGAGGAAAGTTTTGTACTCTGATTCCAGGAGGGATTTGCTTCATAGCATCAGCTGTCTGGAATTTACTTGTTATTTCTTAATGAATTCTAGGATTTTTAAAAAAGATTTAAAACTATCTAAAATTCTCTTGGAAATAGTTAATTTTATAGTTTCCCAGTGCTGTTAGAATGTAATACTGAAATATAATACTGAAAACTGAAACTTTTTATTTTGTTCATTGTGAATATATGATCCTCAGATATATAGTGATATATTGATAAATAACTGCTGGTATCCTATTTTTGAGAGTTGAAAGCAGATATGTGTATACAGCAGTAGTTCGTGAAGCTATTTTTGTACTGATAAATTTTCAAAAGTTTGATTATCTTAATGGAAAATAGGCTGTTTTGAGCACTAATTATATTTAAATTCTTCTAATGTTTAGATAATGTATTCTCATGGTGCTGCTAGAATTTATGCATTTTGGGGTTTCTGCATGTATCTTCTATTCTGTTAAAGAGATTTTTTTTTCTGTCACTTTGTGTGTTTCCAACAGATATTCATTAAAGGATATGTGTAGAATCATCACTCCTTAGTAGGTTGATTTTGCTTTAAAGCAGTATAACTACAATTTTACCGTAATCTGGGTGGGTTTATTCCATCTGTATTTAATAGATTAATTTCTTCATTTATTATCAGAGCTTCCAAAAGCTACTACTTTAAAACTGTGTCTAGGGATTTTTGTAATCTCAAAAACTAAGTTTCATTGGAAAATATACACACCATTTTAGTTATATGTTAAAAAAACAAGCAGTGTTTTATCTTGAATCAAATATATTTTGTACGTGCTTTGAAGATGATACAAACAGGAAAAAACTGAATGACTATTAAGAGCTCTGGGGTACTATATTCTCCACAGCTGTGCCATTTGTCTCTCTTTTTTATGGATAGTAAGCAAAACTTCTAAGATTATAGTTATGAAGTAAAATAGAAATAATTTCTGTGGGTAACTCTTGTTTGAATAAAACTGTGTATAAAGCTGGGGGTTGATTTCACAAGAAGTGCCTTATCATTGATAAAATTGCA